GGAGGAGGAGGAGGAGAAGAAGAAGAAGAAGAAGAAGAAGAAGAAGAAGAAGAAGAAGAAGAAGAAGAAGAAGAAGAAGAAGAAGAAGAAGAAGGAAAAAGAGCAGCTCCAAAAACATTAAATCAAACAGACAGTTTGGTTAAATGGTTAAATAACATTTTCCTCAAATCCGAAGGGTATTTACACCGCTGTTTGCTTGTTTTTTTCCCTTCTCAAATCTGGCTTTTGCAGAGGAAAATTCTCTGAGCCTGTCCCCCCCCCCCGCCCTCCCCATTAATCCTCAATTTGACAAATGTGCAGGGGTTTGTTTTTTTTAATCCCTCTCTGCCTGCCCGTCATTTTTCTAATTCTCAACTCTGCGCTTTATTTTATATTTTTTTGAACCGTCAGGGAGGTGTAAAGCTTATCCGAGTGGGTTTCCACCCCCCCTCCACCCTCCCCGGAGTGATCTATATAAACCACCTTGCCGATAAATTAAATGCACGGAAGGCCATCCGTAGTTTCGCACGCGGGGCCCTGGGCTGTCCTCGCTGGATGGCTCTGTTTAATCATTTTTTAATGCCTCCGCTTTCCCTCGCTGATGTTCATTTTTTTAATTGCCGCCTGTCAAGGAGTCCTCCAGCGTCCGCGGGATAAATCAATTTAATAAATAGATTAAACCAACTTCTCTGACACTCTCGGTCATCCCCCCCACCCTCAAAGTATGACGGGAAGCAAAACTGACATGGGGTAGGAAACGCACTACGTTTTGCCTAGCTTGGTGAGGACAAGCTATGATAGTTGGTTTATTGGACAAGCCACGCGAGGGTAACCTTGTGGAGGGGGGGGGTGTTGGTCGAGCATCCTGTGAGAATTCAGCCCCTGGCACAGCCAGTTGGGCAAAGGAAGTGAGTCTCTGAAGGTGGCTTGTATCGTGTTGGTTTAATTTTGGAAGCTGGCTAGAATATCCTAACTTGGTTTGCTGATGGTTGGATGAGTGACAGGATGTCCCTGATGGGAGGGAAATTTGAGGGAGCAATAGCAATAGCAGTTAGACTTATATACCGCTTCATAGGGCTTTCAGCCCTCTCTAAGCGGTTTACAGAGTCAGCATATTGCTCCCAACAACAATCCGGGTTCTATATCTATCTATCTATCTATCTATCTATCTATCTATCTATCTATCTATCTATCTATCTATCTATCTATCT